AATGCCCCTGTACCTCTTGCTCATGCTATTTCATCACTCGCTTCAGGTTCTGGGGTTCCAATTGACTCCTTTGATATGTCTGACCTCTGCTCTTCTTTGACTATGCTTTTGGCTTCTCCCACTACGGTGCGGCAATTTTCAAATTGCCAGCCCGTCCCACATTGGACCAACTCTGGTCCCACACCTAAACGCCCAAGACCATTACCTGACGATACTTCTTCACTTCCTTATCATTCTACTCATAAAGACCGTCACGTCATGCACTCCCTTTACACACCGTTTCAAAATACACCTACCATCCGACTTAGGACTGAGCTTGGTTCTGACCAACCGGTCGTAAGTCAAAATGGACATAAGTCAAACTTTACTACTGAATATCAACATCACATTTTTGTAATGACTTTATTTTATTGTTTTATTTTGGTATTTCAGTTTTTACTTTACTTTTTATGCTGTTAGTACTGTATTTTATACTGTAAGGTTTAGGATAAACACTGTGTACAACACACAGTTGTTTATTTCCCAGAAATTTGGCATAAAAAACACGGTCGTAAGTCGAGTGGTCGTATGTTGAGCAGGTCGTAAGTCGGATGGTAGGTGTACACAATGGACTAAGTGTTTTATTCTATGACCGACTTCCTCTACTGCTTATCTTTCCGACCATAGTACAGTATTGCCAAGGTGCTCCTACACCATGTTTGTAGAGATGTATCCTTTCATGCTCTCAAGAGCAGTACACGCATCATCACTGTTTCCAGACAGCGTTGTGCGAGGGCATTTATTATCCCCGGCTAGCATTTTTACAGTTGAATTATATGCTATTCTCGTAGCACTTATCCATATTGCATCTATGCCTGTGTCACCATTTGTGGTTGTTTCAGACTCCCTTAGTGCTTTACAGGCCATACGAAAATTTGATACACCTCATCCCCTGGTTCTTCGTATCCAACTTTGGTTATGCTGTATCTCTAGCAAGCACAAAGATACTGTTTTTTGTTGGGTTCCCAGTCATGTTGACGTACAAGGCAATGAACAGGCAGACACTGCTGCGTGGTCAGCAGTACATGACCTCCCAGTTTCATATAGAGGTGTTCCATTCACAGACTATTTTGCTGTAATTGCTACCCACCTTTGCACCCGTTGGCAACAACATTTGTCTGATCTGCTCTATGATAAACTGCATTCTATTAAACCGAGTATAGGTTTCTGTCCATCTTCGTATCATCAGTGTCGAGGTTGGGAGACTACTATCTCCCGTCTTCGCATCGGCCACACTCGTCTTACTCACAGGTATCTCATGGAGAGGCGCCCTGTTCCACTCTGAGAATTGTCGGGTTCCGGCTTCTGTTAGCCACATTCCGTTAGCCTGCCCACTCTTATCAGCGAGCATGCAGAATTTACCTCTGTCGTCGTCACCGCTCTACTGCCCATACTTTACCTTCCCTTTTTACTGATGGACCCTCTCTTAACCCAGACTCATTGACTTTTTGACAGCAACTGACTTACTGCACAAACTCTGATGATGCCTCTACTACTACTACTCAGCCCTTTCTACCTCAATCTCTTGTTACCCTCTACCCCTGCACTATCCACTGCCCCGCTGCACTCCATGACCTAATAATCATCCCTCTCCCTCTTACTACCCATTACCCCTGCATCCTTCCCAGCCCGGCAGCGCTGTATGACTCTTGTAGGTTTAGCACTTCTTTTTGATAATACAGTGGACCCCCGGTTAACGTTATTTTTTCATTCCAGAAATAGTATGTTCAGGTGCCAGTACAGACCGAATTTGTTCCCATAAGGAATATTGTGAAGTAGATTAGTCCATTTCAGACCCCCAAACATACACGTACAAACGCACTTACATAAATACACTTACATAATTGGTCGCATTGGGAGGTGATGGTTAAGCGGGGGTCCACTGTATATCTAAATACTATTCACATATATGCTTCAATGTAAACACTTGATCTACACGTCCCCTACCCATTTTAAAGCCTCCTTGCTTATCTGCAATCCTTCTCTCTGTCTTACCTCTAATTCTTTCAATAATAACCCTACCATACACTTTACCTGGTATACTCAGTAAACTTATTTCCCTATAATTTTTACAATTTCTTTTGTCCCCCTTCCTTTTATATAAATGAATTATGCACACTGCCAATCTGTAGGTACCTTCCCTTCTTTCACACATTTATTAAACAAAAATACCAACCAGTCCAACACTATCTCCCCCTGCTTTTAACATTTCTGTCATGATCCCATCAGTTCCAGCTGCTTTACCTCCTTTCATTCTACGTAATGCCTCATGCACCTCCCTCACACTCGCATCCTGCTCTTGTTCACTCCTAAAAGATGTTATACCTCCAAGGCCAGTGCATGAAATTACTGCCTCCCTTTCTTCGTTGACATTTAAAAGTTCTTCAGAATATTCCCACTATCTACCCAATACCTCCAGCTCCCCATCTATTAACTCCCTTTCTCTGTTTTTAACTGACAAATCCATTCGTTCCCTATCACTCCTCTTTCCTCCTGCACCCACCCTCCTTTAGCCACAGACTTCTGCCCCACATTCTGATACTACTGCATTTTTAAAAGTATCCCATCCCTCTTCAACCCTCCCCACCCACCCTCCCACACTTGTATTAGCCCACCCTTCTGCCAAAAGTTGCTTATATCTCACCCTAACATCTTCCTCCCTTAGTTTATAAACTTTCACCTCTCTCTTACTGTTGCCATTTTCCTTTTGTCCCATCTACCTCTAACTAGGTAATGATCTGATATATCCGTTGCCTCTCGATAAACATATACAGTGGTACCCCGAGTTTCGAACTCTCTTCATTCCAGAAGGCTGTTCGAGTGCCGTTAACGAGCGAATTTGTTCCCATAAGGAATAATGTAAATTAGATTAGTCCATTTCAGACCCCAAAAATACACTTACAAAAGCACTTACAATAATACACTTACATAATTTGTTGAGTTGGGAGCAGTTCAAAACTCAGGGTACCGCTGTACATCCTTAAACCTTCCCATCAACCTTTTATCCACCAATAAATAATCTAACAAACTACTTTCATTATGTGCTAGTTCATATCTTGTATACTTATTTATCCTCTTTTTCATAAAATATGTATTACTTATTAGAAAACCTCTTTCTACGCACAGTTCAATTAAAGGCTCTCCATTTTCATTTACCCCTGGCACCCGAAATTTACCTACTACTCTCTCTACAACATTTTTACCCACTTCAGCATTGAGATCCCCAACCACAAGTACTCTCTCACTTGGTTTAAAACTCCCCACACACTCACTCAACATTTTGCAAAATCTCTCTCTCTCCTCTACACTTCTCTCTTCTCAAGGTACATAAATACTTACTATAACCCACTTTCCACATCCAACCTTTATTTTACTTCACATAATCTTTGAATTTATACATTTATATTCCTCCTTTTCCTGCCATAACTTATGCTTCAACATTATTGCTTCTCCTTCCTTAGCACTCTCTGTTAGAAACTCCTGATCTCATCCCATTTCTTTCTCCCCATTGAAACTCTCCTACCCCCTTCAGCTTTGTTTCACTTAGAGCCAGGACTTTCAGCTTCTTTTCATTCATAACATCCACAGGTCATCTCTTATCATTCACACTACAACCACGCATGTTCAAACATCCCACTTTGACGGTTTTCTTCTTTTTCTTTTTAGTAGGCTATGCAGGAATAGGGGTTACTAGCCCATTGCTCCCGGTATTTTAGTTGACTTACATCATGCACGGCTTACGGAGGAAAGATTCTTGTTCCACTTCCCCATAGATGTGAAAGGAACAAGAACTATGAAGATAAAATCAAAGAAAATTTGGATAAGTGTGTATTCATAAGTGTGTACATGCATGTGTAGTGTGACCTAAATGTAAGTAGAAGTAGCAAGACGTACCTGAAATCTTGCATTTTTATGAGACAAAAAAAGACACCAGCAATCCTACCATAATGTAAAACAAATACAGGCTTCCATTTTACACTCACTTGGCAGTATGGTAGTACCTCCCTGGGCAGTTGCTGTCTACCAACCTACTACATATATGCATCAAAATTTTTAGCAAATGGGCAGCACAAGGTCATATACATTTACTGTATAGGTGGAGCAAACATTAGTAAACCAGAATTAATAATAAAAACATTATCTTATGCTGCATGCTTTTCTGAATAATGATGCACAGAAAATTACCATTTAATTTAGAAGCTTAGATGTCTTAATTCCAGTTTGTGAACTGTAGGTTAACTTGGATGTAATGGCTGCTCTTAAAAAAATGAATTTAGAGAAGTTTTCACCACATAGTTTTTATATCTTGTATAATTGTATGAAACAGCTCTTTAAAATTTTGGTAAAATAGATTTTTTAATTGAGCCTTATGAGTATAAAGAAAATTATGTTATTAGAAAAGTATTAAAAAAAGATGATTGTGTACATCTGTTTGTTTTAAATGCATAAAATGTGTAATGTCTATGATAAAGTTGAAGATCCAGTAATTTTTAGATTAGTACATTATATTATATGCTAAAGATAGTTATATTTTATTTTTATAAACAGAATTATTTATAGAAAATTCTTTGTATTCATATTTGCCATAATAAGACTTTTTCTAATAATGAACAGTGTAATGTTCTACAGTTATACACAAATAACCCGCACATAAAAGACAGAAGCTTACGACGACGTTTCGGTCCGACTTGGACCATTGACAAAGTCAGTGTGACTTTGTCAATGGTCCAAGTCGGACCGAAACGTCGTCGTAAGCTTCTGTCTTTTATGTGCGGGTTATTTGTGTATCGTTCCAGTCACGGTATTGTGCCTCTTTGTTATTTCTACAGTTATATTCTTAAATTTTTTATATAGTATTTAATAGATTGCATTTCATTGTTCACTGCATGATTAAAATGTGCATTATTTTTATTTAACATTTTGAATACTGTGATAAGATAAGGCTTTTCGTGTGTTATTAGGATATCGCTCAACGTGATGACACTTAATGTTGAGTCTCCACGGGTCTACACAGCACAAGGCGTACCAATCTCAGTGACGGGCATTGCACAGGTCAGTGACACTAACAGACTTTGGAAACTAGATATTTTTTAGAAGTTTAATTCATTTATAGCCAAATAATTATTTTTAGCACATTCCTGTGTTGACTTCATCATCTAAATTACCAAAAATTTCGTTTAGCTTGGTATCACACATTTTATGCTTAACTGTTATATGAAAGATGAGGTAAACCATAGAATTGATGAAGGGAAAAAGGTGAGTGGTGTGAAGACAAAGATCATTATTCAGGAACATAAAGTGGGGAATGTACGAGAGTATAGTGATTCCAACACACTTATATGGGTGTGAAGCTTGATTTTAAATGTTGCAACGAGGAGGAGGTTGGAGGCAGTGGAGATGTGTACAAGGGCAATGTGTGTTGTAAATGTTATGTAGAGAATTTGTAGTTTGGAGATAGGAGAGTGCAGAGTTACTAATAGTGTTATTCAGAGGGGTGAGGAGGGGTTGTTGAGGTGGTTTGGTTATTTAGAGAGAATGGAGCAAAATAGGATGACTTGGAGGATGTATAAATCTGTAGTGAAGGGAAGGAGGGGTAGGGGTCATCTTAGGAAAGCATGGAGGGAGGGGGGTAAAGGTGGTTTTTCGTGTGCAAGGGGCTTGGACATACAGCAGGCATGTGTGAGCATGTTAGGAGCACGTGGAGACAAATGGATTTTGCGACCTGACTATCTGTTGGAGTGTGCACAAGGTAACATTTTGTGAAGGGATTCAGGAAAACTGGTTAGCTGAACTTGAGTCCTAGAGGTGGTAAGTACATTACCTGCACTTTACAGGAGGGATGGGGATATTTGCTGCCTGGAGTGACATCTGCACTGTCGTATCTGTGTGCCTCTAGCAAGATAGTGACAGTGTGAATGTTGGTGAAAGTGTTTTTTTTTTTTGGGGTCACCCTACCTTGGTAGGAGACAGCCAGCATATTAAAAAGAATACATATACAGTAGTCCCCCTGTATCCTCAGGAGATGCCTTCTAAGACCTACCATGGATGTCTGAAACTGCAGATAGTAATAAGCCCTATATGTAAGTTGTTTTTCATTTACATACATACCTATCATAAAGTTTAATTGATAAATTATGCACAATAAGTGGAGAATTAGCACTTTGTCACTGATGAGAAGCACTTCATGACTTCTCTTAGGCTATCATCACTACTTATGCTATCATCACTACTTTTGTGCTTTGGTGTCATTATTAAGCAAAATTAAGGGTTATTTTTGGACCACAGTAAGCCTTGGATAACTGTAAAAACCAAATCCATGGATATGGGAATTCTACTTTGTATTGATATATAGCATCTTTAAAGGAGGGGTTTGGGATATTGGCAGTTTGGAGGGATATGTTGTGTATCTTTATACGTATATACTTCTAAACTGTTGTATTCTGAGCACCTCTGCAAAAACAGTGATAATGTGTGAGTGTGGTGAAAGTGTTGAATGATGATGAAAGTGTTTTCTTTTTGGGGATTTTCTTTCTTTTTTGGTCACCCTGCCTCGGTGGGAGACGGCCGACTTGTTGAAAAAAAAAAAATATATAGCATCTATTAATTTACTGGAATTTGATGGAAAAAAATCTTTTTTTTTCAGGTGAAAGTGCAGGGTCAGTATGAAGAAATGCTGCTGGCTGCATGTGAACAGTTTTTGGGCAAATCTGAGTCGGAGGTTCAAGAAGTTGCACTGGAGACATTGGAGGGACACCAGCGTGCCATCATGGGATCCATGTCTGTTGAGGTTGGTGTCTTTTTTGCGTAGATATGAGAAATTGTAGTTATTGTATATTGTGTTTTGACTCCAATTTTTTAAATCTACGCAGGAAAGAAATTAACCTTCCAACCAGTGATCCTCATACAGTTTCCCATACAGGAACTGTTTTACTCATTTTAAAGTTTGACTCACTTTTGGCATAACGAAGCACCTGTGATTGGTACTGTATGTATTGCAACACAAATACTGTACCTATTTTCTTAAACCAAACTTATTTTTTGTTTCACCAAACATACTTGCAATTTTCACAATTTTTAGATATCCTCACAAAAGACTCCAAGTTTTTCTGTTATTTTTCTCACTGGTTTTGTGTGTGATTGTTTGAAAATGCTTATTTAATTTGCCTTAAATTTTATCACATTTTTTTTTATAGTAGATTAGGCAGGAGGGTGAACACTTACTTGTTACTGGAGTCCTCAGCTTTAAAAAATAAAATATTCTTGAAAATCATATGTAACTCAAGAGTTTCAAGTTTGAAGCCTGTTTTCCTTAGACACCATAGTTATAATTGGAGATGCATTCTCAAGCAATAACATTCCATATCTAATTGACTTTTAATGCTGAAAATAAAAACATTGTACTGTACTCGCCTGAGATAGGTCCTTTTCTCTTTCAACCCCTTTCCTTATCATTCCTCTCTCATCCCTTCCCATTCAACACAACACACTTAAAATATGCTCTCCACCCTTTTACTATTGTGAAGGTGGAGTGTGTGGTGTGGGAGATGAGGGTAGCTGGTGCCTGCACATATGTTGTGGGGAGGTTGGGGTTAGGGTGGATGAATATCCAGGCCTGCAGTGTGGAAGGGATAAGAGTGGTGAGGGTAAGCTTATGCCTGAGTGATAAGAACATAAGAAAGAAGGAACACTGCAGCAGGCCTGCTGACCCATGCAAAGCAGGTCCATGCTTCCCCCCCCTGGATTAGCCAAATGACCCACATAGTCAGGTCACTTCCACTTAAGTTCAAGCTTGATCATACCGTGCAATTAACAGAATTGCCACTCTTCTCATCATAATTATTTAATCTACAGTACCAGACCAGTTTCTGCTAAACAAATATAAACCTTTCATATACATGTACTTATAAAATGAACGTAAACCAAATATCAGTGCATATGGTGAAAAATAATAGAGAAAAAGTAACTAATTCAGATTTAACAAAATTGGAATAAGTAAATTTACATTTCTTGACCAGTCTCTACCATACTAATATAAACCCACTACATACATAAAATGAGAATATACAAAAACCTCAAAACATTTAGTAAAAAAAAAAAAAATTTAAGTGGAAAAAAAATCATGACTTTGAACTTGATTATCTTCCATTCTTCATGTTACTGTATGACCCCTTTGTTTTGACCACTACACCATGAATGAAATAATAATAATGTTGTTACTTGTTTCTGCCACCACCAAGAAAAAAAAATACATGTAGGAAATTGTGATAACAATTGTAACAAAATTCTGTGGTTGGATTTTAGTTTCAACATTGAAAGAAAGTGGACATCATAAAGAGAAACTAAAATTTTAGAAAATCTTCATATTAGATCCATAATAAAAAGTACTTTATTTATGCTGTATATTTTGTTTGCACTTTGCACTACTTTCAAATAACCAGTACGTACTTAGGAGACAAAACATGCGATGATGTTTTGGTTTGTCCTGGACCATTGTCATGTCACAATTATGAATTGCTCCAACAACAGTATTGTGAATTTTTATTCACTTTGCACTTTTAACACATCAGCCGTCTCCCACTGAGGCAGGGTGACCCAAAAAGAAAGAAAAAAAAAAAGAAAGAAAAAACTTTCATCATTCAACGCTTTCACCATCACTCATACATAATCACTGTCTTTGTAGAGGCGCACCGATATGACAGTTTAGATGTCCCTCCAAACTGCTAATATCCTAGCCCCTTCTTTCACCCTTAACCCTTTCAGGGTCGGCAGGCCCTCTCCTAAACTTGTTCTCAGGGTCGGAAATTTTTCCAAAAAAAAAAAAAAATATTTATGAAATGATAGAGAATCTTTTCCCAATCATAATGACACCAAAGGTATGAAATTTGATGGAAAACTTACGGAATTATGCTCTTGCGAAGTTAGTGGTCTCAACGATGTTTAAGCATCGGCGATTTCGCCCACTTTGAGCCCTATTTTCAGCCAATTCCAATGCACCAGTCGACAAAAATCATTACTATTTCGCTAGAACTCCATTTGCTCTATCGAATGAGTACAAAAAACCACCCATTTACTGATTTCAACTATCCAATAAAGTCAGAAATTGTCAATTTTGCTATTTTCACACAAATTTCAAAAGATGCCAATTTCCAAATGGAGTCCAGAATAAACAAGACAGACATTCCTGGCACTAAAATAACATTTTCTCTGTTCATTAGTCACTTCCCCAGGCCTCTCTTACATTTCTTTTGCTTTCCACTTTGAATTTTTATTCTCACAAAAAAATAGAAGATTTACTGTTATGCAGACTACTGCATTAGTGTAGAAATGGTATAAATAATATCAGCGCACTTATGAAAGAATATTAGACTCACAAGTTGACGTGTATTGGATGCGTGGCATGATTTGTTTACTTTTGAACATTGGCAAAAATCAAACATTTCTGCTACTTTGATCTCAATTTCAAGGTACTTTTCATTGTGAAACTAATCAAAATCATTTCAATTTCTGTAATATGTCTTCCATTCTATAAAATGAGACCAAGAAAACTAAAATACAACCATAAATAGCTTACCAAAATACACTGCAAATTCGCTGTTTTAAAGGAAAAACACGGAGTTTTTTTCTCATGCACTGTGTGCTGCGGGATTTTTTTTATACCATGCACACTGACCACATAGACCCATTCTTTCATATGTAGGCCTACCAGCTTTCTCTCGCTAGATTTGAAGGCGCTAGAATTTATGCAGACTAGTACGGCACCAACCCTGGCATGCAAGCTGTACTAGTATGGCACCAACCCTGGCGTGCAAGCCATACTAGTACAGCACCAACCTTGAAAGTGTTAACATTCGGAGTCCCCCACACGTGAACGTAGATCTACGTTTGGACAGTTTAAGGGTTAAAGTGCAGGCATTGTACTTCCCTTTTCCAGGACTCGAGTCTGGAAATGCGTACATGTTATAAAAAGACTCGTACAATAAAATACAAGAGGAGCGCTGTATACTGTATTTTGACCTCACACCATGGTATCTTCAGCAGTTGTTGTCCAAAGTATGCAGTACTGTACTTTTGTGTGTGTGTGTGTGTGTGTGTGTGTGTGTGTGTGTGTGTGTGTGTGTGTGTGTGTGTGTGTGTGTGTGTATGTGTGTGTGTGTGTGTCTGTCTCTGTGTATGTCTCTGTGTCTGTGTGTGTGTGTGTGTGTGTGTGTGTGTGTGTGTCAGTGCCATTGACCACTGTCTATTACATTACTGTGTTTTGACCATGAATCACATTTTCAGCTTACCTTTTATCTAAAGCTAATTAGTACAAATTTGAGATTATCGAGGCTTCCTGATGCTGAATACTGTATATGGTATAGTACTATAATATTTACTAAGCTTGTCTCTTCCAAGTATTCATGGACAATGAGCCTAACATTTTCTTTGATTTAAATGACAAGGATACTCAGTGTTACTTAAAATTTCAACACTTTATAGCCTTCAAGGGCTTAGTGGTTTTCATGAATAAAATATTTAAGATTTCTGTAGAAAATAAATTATTGAGCATATTGAAGTGAGGGGGGGGGGTAAAGAAGGCTTTGAATTTTTAAGAGCTTGAGTACACATACCAAATGTTCATATTCCAGAAATTGTCTGAGGAAAAATTATATGAAATCACTCATTACACATTTACCAAATTGAAGGGAAAAAAATCACATTACTTGACTGTAAAAGAAAATGAGCGTGCCACTCCTGCAATTACTACATATGCCTCCCAGCATAAGTAAGGGGGGATTACAAATAAATCCCTAGCTGTTTTCAAGAGGGAGCTGGACAAGCACCTAAAGTCAGTTCCTGACCCACTGGGGTGTGGGTCATATGTTGGTTTATGTGCAGCTAACACGCAAACCAACATACGATTTTTAGTCTCTGAATAAATGTTTTTCTAAAACAGATTTTTTGAAGTAAATATTCATCCATAAACTTCAGCAGAATCTAAATTGGTTTATATTGGCTAGTGAATTGAGGGTTTTATTGATAGATCTTAATAAGACATTATTAAGGTAGTGGATTTTTTACAAGCTTATCCTGTCTAGTTTGCAAATGAGATACTGCATATAGGTAACTAATTCAGGGATTTAACAAAATTACAGTTTGCATTTTCTCAGTGCATGGTAGAATAACCTGTAATCCTGTCAGTGGCTGTCACATAAAAATATGTCATTGAGGCCAGGGTCCCTGTGTAGGTCTTTGCCATGAGCTCAGCTAGCTCAGATAAGCTGTGAGTGGTAAATTTTGGTTTAGATATAAGAGAATGGGTCTGTGTGGTAAGTGTGCACAGCATAAAAAAAAATTCTGCACTCTTTAACCCTTAAACTGTCCAAACGTAGATCAACGTTCACGTGCGTACTGCTCTGAATATTTTAGGATTTTTTTTTTTTCGTTTAACTCTTAAACTATCCAAAGGTAGATCTACGTTCATGTGCGTAGCGCTCCGAACATAGATCTATGTTTTATTTTACATGCTTTCTTATGTAAAAAAAAAAAAGGTAGATCTACGTTCAGAGCACTATGCACGTGGACGTAGATCTACGCTTGGACAGTTTAACGGTTAAAATGAAGAGCGCATTTTTCCAGGCATCCTCGAATTTTGTCATGCTGCACAAACTGAGTGCACAGACTCATTCTCTCATGTCTAGGCAGCTCAGGCTTAATGTGCCAAGGTTGAAAGCATGTACAATAAAATGTAGATCTGCAATCGAAGCACTATGCATGTGAACGTAGCTCTACGTTTGGACAGTTTAAGGG